ATTCGTCTACGTTTATTATTTTGAGTTAATATTTTTTTGCAATTAACCGACGATATACTAATTATTGTTAATTTAATATCTTATAATTATTTTATAAATATTATTCTATAAATTTTTTTCTTTTTATATATAAATTGTCGATTGAGATGACATTTGTTAGCCAACAACCATACTGATACCAATGTTTTTCGTGCACAATAAATTTTTTATTGTTTATTTCCGTAATGAACCTTAATCGATCCCCATGTAAATATATCAAATGAATCCAATATTACAATTATTAGTTTGTTTTATTTTTCAAAAAACGGACTTAAATATTCAAAAAGTTGTGTGAAAATAAGTATATTTCCGAAACCTTTTTTTTTAAGAAATCCACCAAATTTTTTTAAATTTTTTTTTCAGAAAACAATTGAAAAATAAACTTAATTTGTTGTACCGTTATTGTAAACAATAAGTTAATTTTTTATAGAGTAATTTTTTTAACTTCCTCTCTCGAATCGTACACCAATTTTTCTCTCCAGCCATATCCCAATCAACCTTAGTTTTAATTTGTTCAAAAAAGAGCATGAAGTTTAATTCTTTTTAAAATGGGTCCTATTTAGGTTTCAATGTTGTTTCTTTTATTGCTATTGAAAGAACAGAATTATTAATAAAGAATTTGCTAGTTTATTGTTTAAAACATTTTAGTTTTGATATATTTTCTGAAAAATTGTCATTGATGATTATAGCTCACTTTGGAAATAAACGACTCCATTACCACACACGACTTATTGAGGTTTCCAACACAATCAGCTGAAGTAGTTCGTTGCAATCCGGACATTATCTGTTACATCAGAAACGGCTTATTGAAACATCGTAACGGCTCCTAACCACCTTTCGGAACCCGTAACACAAAAAAAAATGATGAAAGAAAGAAAGAAGGCAAGAAAGGATAAATAAAAAAGTAAAGTCTTTGATAAAGGAACGTTAGAGGAATCTTAAAGGAGGCATCTGGCGGTAGACCGCTGTATCGATACAGTACAGAGCGTGGCAGACTCAACCCTTCGAGGGGTCGCCCCGATACAACACCTGGCCCATTGTGAAGGATACATTACCCATTCTTTATTCGGCCAAACATCGGCACGAGTCACACCTGCGCAGCTACAACCCTACTGCTACAATATGCTCTGAATATATTTGAATACAGATTACCTCATACATTTCAATACCTGCTCCGCCTCTTGTATGTAGCAGCTATGGGGGGGATACCTGCTAAATGTATCTGGATAAATAGAAGTAGTACCCAACAAAGAGAATCTATTCTAATTACTATTTCATGTAAGTTAGAAAAAAAAAACTAAGGTTTGTGCTTTATACCACACGATAGAAGTGAAAACATAACTTCAACAAGGCGATATTAATAATAGGAAACATAAATTATAAACTGGATGAAATGCTGAACATTTCCCTCGCTTACACTATTCACGTCCGATTTTTAGTTTCTGAGATATTTTAATCCAAATCTCCCATAAAACACGTTATCAATTGGTTTTCGACACTATTTTTCCTTTTCGATATAAAGTAGTTTGTACGCACCAGTTGTGGACAGGGAGCCCAGTGATGGACAGTTTGGACTGTAAATGTAAATAATAAGCTTCCATGTGTATTGAAAGGTTCCAGTTTTTTCTAGATTGAAGAACAATGCCCCCTATTGACAACTGCATGAACAAAGTTACCAAAAGAAAATTTTAAAATGCCTATCATTGTTGTTTCTATAGTGCTCTTGAGATCAGTGTGTTTCACTAACTTCCTACTAACAGTTTTGCTAAGAGTAAGTTGATTTATGTTATCTTGTCTTTATGGTTATCTTTATAGTGAAATAAAGATTTTTTTCTGAGGTATGTCTATTACTGGTACCGACCTGGTACTAGAACAATTGAACTTCGGATTGTCCATCACTAGTGTAAAAAGTTTTTGTTTGTTTTTAAATTGTGATTATACCTGCATAACTGAATATTTTTTCAATTTTAAAGTGTCGAATAGAAAAGGAGACCCTACACATCCTATATGTCCAACAGAGAAGTTTATAACTGTAATAATTACGGCGGCTATATGATATATAAATATTTTTTTTGTTAATCTTTTAAATTTCCTAGGAAGTCTTTTAGTGTCTGAGAAAACCCTTCATAAACATAATAAATAAAGTTAACAACTAAATTACAAAGTAATTAGTTTCAAAGTTATAAATAACTATAAAACAAAAGAATTGAAAGTCTTCTTGATATAATACAAAACAAATAAGAACACAAATACACAATAAGAAATAAAAAATAATAGATAAAATAATTAAAAGATACTTAAATGAAAATGTGTACAATCAGAATAAATAACAATTATTATTTACTTCGTAGTTCAATTGTGTTAGTAAAAAAAAAGAAAACATATTATTTTTTAAACGTTTCAGAGAATTACCCCATCTACAGGACATCTTTAAAATATATTTTATAGTATGTCTAAATTTGCTTAGGCTTACATTTTTAGTTGGACATATAAAATAATGTTATTAAGGAAGTCTGTTTGGTAAAAAATTAAATTAAATATACATAATTATCATTTCTGACTGTCAATTGTCAGTTTTAGGAACCGTTCAGATTAATTAGTGAATAATTGCTAAAAATGTTTTTTTTTTATGATATTTTTACGTTAACATCTGTCTTAAATACAATAAGTGAATATGAACACTATCAATCATTTATGACATGTTAGGTCTGAGGGTGGATTATAATGACATCATAATTCCTCCCAATAATTAAAAAAAAAATACTATTTAATTTACTCGTTCAGCTCCTTTTCAAAATTATAAAAAAATGTTTGCAAGGCCATGAAGTTTTTCATTTTATCATTTATGAATAGCGTTTATAATTTATGTATCGTTTTTATTCATAAAAAGACAAAATAAAATTACAAAATAATTTAAAGTGATCACGATCAATTAACAGATTATTATAAATTATAATAGCTAATTTCGCCAGTCGATGTTCGCTTAATTTCGAATTTGTCTCATTATAAATGAATTATTTATTTATCTGCACTGGAATCAGTTATCAACTAATAAATAAAAAATAGATTTAAATGTTGCACCCTTGGTAATTTTAAGATGGTCGGATATCACTGCCCCCAAAGCCAGATATGGTTATTCCTGCTGTTTAATGGTAATGTCGTTATCAGAGCGCGAACTGTTTGATTGGAAGAGTAAGCAAATATAAATGGCCAGATCTTAATCCCCAACCCTCCAACCTCCAACACAATCCTCCACCCTCCAATCCTCCACCAGAAGAGATGAATTAATCCGGGCGACGGGAGATAAGGAGAGCTGTTGGTGACATCCAAGATGGCGGCGGACCCCACCGAATCGGATCAGGGTCCTTTGTCCGGGAGGCGGATTCAATTGACGCCCACGTAAATAAATTGGCCCCACTACCTGGGCAGGTATTGTCGTCCGAGGAGGAAGAAAAGAAGAGAGAAAGCTCTGGAAATGTTTTATACCGGGTCGGCTTTGTAGGATGTGTTCAGCTGCCTTCGCATTCCTATAGCGGCCGGTTGGCGGGTGGTGTGAGGTGTTCATTAACTCCTGCAAAAGATGGATCAAAAGTGAAAAAGAACAAAAAAATCAAGGAATAATATCATTATCCTTCCTACGGAGGACCACATTCTTTAGAAATTATTATCCATCCTACGAAGGACCACGTTTTATAATCAAGAGATATATGACAACAGCTGTAGTAACGAAATATATTAAAAATCACAAATATAAAATTTAAAAAATAAACCTATGTTTCATTTGTCATTTTGTTTATTCCATTTTTTTTTCTGTTGCCTTTACAGACCAGGTAGATCTTTTTCCTCCTTAAAAAGCTTTCCATTTATCTGCACACAGTTCTATTGAATATTTCTTGATTGTATCTATCCACCTCCTTATTGGCCTTTCACGTGGTCTTATGCCTTCTATTGAGGCATTAATTGTTACGTAGAGGCTTCCAGATGGATTGCTACGAACTAGATGCCCCGCCCATCTTAACCTCCGTGCCTTCATATCATGGGATATTGATTGACCAGTTTCTGTTAGCATTTCATTGTTGGTATTTCTTCTCCATGTGTTAGTACCACAGTACTAACTAAGAAAAAAAATTGTAGTGATACCGAAACTTTTTAAAAAAATTGTTTTCCCTTTTAAACTCTGAGTAAAAGTGTTCGGTCTGAAATGAAACAGTGAAGTATATGTATCGGTAATAGACAGTTTTCAACTCTTTTTACATTTAATAAGCTTTATACGCCCAAAAAAGTGTACAATTCTAGATTTGAAGCTAGAATACTTAGGAAGGTACCTGAACCTCAGGTAATCTTATGCCTTTACTTATTTCTTTTCATTAGGAGATAGGCATGAATTTTTGATTTATTCATCAGTAGTTTGTAATTTCCTAGTTTAAAACTGTGGAGAATTTATTTTGGGATTTTTTTAATTATAAAAGAAAAATCAGAGTGTCGATTATCGGTACAAAATACGCTGTCAAAATGTCCTATATTTTTCATTAATAATAAACTAATTGGCGGTATAGAAAAACCGAAAATTGGTAAAAGACTAAATTGTCAATAAACCCATTTGCAAAGATCCACCGTCAGAACTTAAGTTTAAAAATTCTCTTAAAGTGTCCATTACCGGTATATTTACGTAAGTGACTTTTGCCGAAGCTTCGGCCTAATCATTTGATATAATTTATTTATCTGTAATGAAACATTCCTTTCTTCTTTATCTTTCTTCAGCCGAGTTCGTAGAAACCCCCTTTTAGGACAAGCAGACATCCAACCCCGGTAGTAAACACAGCCTGTTTGCCGGTGACATTACAGATTGAGGTGGTAAAACAAGGAAGGACCCGGTGTGTTGAAAGCATCTGTCTGTTCTTGTCGTCGCAGCTGCTGAGCTCCGGAGGGTGGATCAGGTTGGAGGCGACTCCTGGTGACTGATGATGTGCAGCAGAGCGTCCCAAACAGTTCCTTTCCAGCGGCGTTTCTTTTACTTCTGGATCCTGGCTTCTTCAAGAGAGCATTCCCAATTGAATTGTGAGAAACTACCCGAAGAGAGGAAGCTTGAAGGTTGAACGGTTTAATGAATTCCAATCTTACTACTCCTTCGGGATTCTTAGATAGAAAGAAAGAGTGGTATCTGCAATGGCATTAAATTTATTTCTTATGGAAAACATTGGAAGATAATGGTACAACTCAAAAAAATTCATTTTAGCTAAAAGCTCATTAGTATTAACACATTCTGGTGCTGGAGTATTCATTTTCATATAATAATATGAAATATAAATTACAAATAATAGTCGATAACAGTGAGTAGGAAATGCTGAACATTGTTAGAGTATGCAGATCCGAGTTTTAGTTTCTAAGATATTTTAATCCACATCTTCAATAAAACTCATTATAATTTTCCAACACTATTTTTTCTTTTTACCTCTCTAACACGTCGTAGCATTAAGATAAAATTTTGCAAAGTAACTTATTACAAAGAGGATGAAACGATGATAAACATCTGCCTCGCTTACAGTATGCAAGTCCGATTTTTAGTTTCTGAGATATTTTAATCCATATGCAAAAACACTTCGACTCCGATCGACTTTACCCGAGCGTTACACGTCAGGATCTGACGGCTCAATCACTCTTCACAAAAAGAAACTGCAAAAAAGCTCCTAAAAAGTTTTCACTTCAATAAACGATACCATATATGTTTATATGTATGTATAGGTATAAATATGTGTAAACGCATAGTGTTGTATATTTACGCTTAACGCGAAGTGATGTAATTTAATAGGAATCCTTGATACCATAAAAACAACTCTACCCTCAACATTTTTTGATTTCCAAGTCCTTTCGGATGTTAAACCATAATCAGTTGATTTGGTAGTATTTTTCTCTTTAAGTCATGTTGAATTTATATACAAATCATTTAATTTAAATGCATCATTGCTTAATCAGAATAACAATTCTTAACACCATCAAATCACCTAACAAAGATCTTACTGTCGAACTATTTTTACTAAACCAAAAACCTCTTAAATCAGTTTTTAACAGTTCAAAACTTCTAATTCCTTCAAGAAACAGAGCATAGAAAAATAATTAGTAAAATTGATATAATATCTTAAAATAAAAACATAAATACATTTTAACTGTAGGAGAAAGATGTTCTATGCCATATAAAATAATGCTGATTTTAAAAGTGTTTTAAAAGTAATGATGGGGGTTTTAAAATGTGTTCAAAGAACATTCAAAGTATGCAAAATTTGAAGAGACTTTAACGCTCGAAGATGCAACGACCTTCTGAAATGTTCTTCTACATTCAGAATGGATGAAGGATATGGTTAAAAAATACTCTTTGAAAGAGGGATTTATACTTGTAAAAAACTACTACACCCTGCTGTGCTAGTCTAATCGTGCGAGAACATCTATCCTCAACGACAATGGATAACTGATCCATCGGCATCGAACAACTTACCTGCACTCCCGCTTATCCGCGCAATGGAGTCTCCACCCCCGACAGACCGGTTAATCCGAAACCTCTGACAGATTTGACCTGATAGGCCGACGACATCTCTTTTTAGTTTTTAATGTCGTCTAAAAAATTGTTCATTCTCTGATTTGCTATCTTTTGATTTACACATTAAAATATTTTAACCATGTTTCAATTATTTAAAAATAAAATTGTTCTTTATAACAAGGACTACCGTTTCGTATAATTTATCTTATAAACTTATTAATGATTTTTCTATGTATTTATTAAATTAATTTTGTTTTTATCCTACACAACGATTTATTCTTTTGAGTTGATTCAAAATCACGAATATTATGAAATACATTTTTATAAAAGTAAATAAATCATTTATTTTATTTTTTTTTTTTTTTTTTTTTTAGGAAAAGTTGCATGGCTGAGGGAAGCTGATATCTGGAGGCAAGAGGAAGAAAGAAAATCAGCTCTTCACGCTAGACTTGGAATTAATACAGGTAAGAATTTTATAATTTATCTTATTATTATTATGTAAGTATTATATGTATTTGATGATATTTGTATTGTATTTTTCCACTTATTTTCAAGAAGGAAAATAGTTTTTAAATCAAATATCTACCTAAAATATCGGTAATTGTACCGACTATTTCGAATTATTTTTCCGATAAAGTCAAGTTAAATTTGAACAAATTAATAATAGGCCACGGCTGAAATACCCCTGAACATGAAAAGGAGACCAAAAAGGCGTTGGATGAGAGATCTTCCTTAAACAACCAAACCTTCCCCATGCCTGAAATGTCATTATTTCTTATATCTCCAGCATAGTTGCTGATTTTAAACAAAAATTGAAAAGTGTAAATACATTTTTAAAAAACAAAAACTATCTAAATATTACTTAATAAGAATTTTATTATTATTAATAATAAAAAAATAATATTTTTATTGCGTTGTAAATGGACGCCATGATTTACACAGAATTGGAGAGGGCCAAACTAAATTTATTTTGACTAAACGAAATAGAATTTCATGCATTACTAAAAAAAAAAAAAAAAAAATTGACCACTTTAATTTAATAAATTTCTTCATCTATATAACTTTTTTTTTAATTATGGGGAAGTGTGCCTATTTTTCTTATCTAAAGGAGAAGATGTCTAATCATTAAATTTCGTAAACAATTAAGTAAGTCATTAGGTTACAAAAAAAAAAGCCTTTGAGAAGGAATATATAAATATTTTTTTTTGTATATTGTATAATTGTTCAACTAACTTTCGTAATGAATTAAATAGGTACAATTTCACCTTCCTTAAATAATTCAAACAGAACCAGAGTAGCACTGATGTACAACCGTGAAAGTACATTGCAAGATTAAATTACATCAAAATTTTAAATTTGTTCCTATCATTATTATTATCATTACTATTACTATTAAATAATATACAGCGGGAATCAGTTCGGAAAGTTATTACGAAATATAATTCGGAATTAACTATGGCGGAACTGACTTAACGAATGAGTTACTTTTTATTTAAGACCAACCGCCATGAAGTGTTACGAAAATGCGTTTAACACAAAAATAATGGAAGATTGGCAAATTAGCATTGTATTAAAGTGGCAAAATGGACTCCCGTTTTCCACGATATAATCTTGAGAATAATCAGCTCATTATCGGGTCTAATGTTTGGAACATATTACAAATGTTGAAAACTATAATACCTGCGTCGGCCATATTGTTAGTTATACACTAATTAGGTTATTTTTAACCTGCAACGAAATAAAAAAAAAAAATTAAGTAGCCTATATAATTTTTAAAAAGTTGAGATATCATCGGTATTGTAACCGTTTCAGTTTTTTTTTTTTTTTGGAACAAGTAATTTTTTTATTATTATTTAATATTTCATTATTATTCGTCGTGATATTTACAACGGTATAAAAAAAATACATCTACATTGAGCAAATTTGTACAAATGGATATATTGACATGACAACACTTGTTGAGAATCTGCCCACTCTCATAATATGTCTACATTAGGAGATCACAGGGCCATCTTCTTTTCAGACGCCTCAGAGGGTTATCAGGGATTGTAGAGGAAGCAATTCTAGAAACGAGAGGATGGTTCTGAAGTTTATTATGAAAGGGTAGGTATATGAACATTAAGGATTATTTTATTTTAAGGATTGGATACAAGAGAAATTTGATGGTTTAGTGGAGTCCCATTACTCAACTACATAAAATTACATAAGATCAACTTACACTATAGCTTACAATTATAGGAACTATAATGCAGTTAAAGTAGATTCAATCTCACTTTACTAAATGAAGACATAATTCATGTTAGGTTTAATAATTATTCATATGTTTTCTCCCAACCTCTACGCCACATTAGTCCCTAATATTCTGTAACTAATCACCGAATAGGTGAGCGTAATCGCTAAATAGTTCAGGTTTTTTTTTTTTTTGTTTCACCATCAGAGAACTTTTGGAATGTTGTAACTATGAGTATGGATTCCAGTAATTGGGTTCGGATTGTTAAATCAGTCCAGCGATTGAAGTGGAGTATAATTGCTCATAATAAGGTTTAATTACCAGATGATGAAGGAGTGATGGGGTTTATTACGAGTATCGTCTAATACCGTTAGTTTTATAGCAATTCAATGGATGCTTATTGAATTGAGGGCGTGTCTGCCTGTTGTAAGTGTGTCGAGGTTCGATTGCCGTTGTTGCATTTAGAAAAAATGATCTCGATAATTTCGATTGTAATCTTAGTTCATGAAAGCACATTAAAAAATAAAATAAAATAAAAAGTTAAAGAAAAATCTGCAGTTTCTCTTTATGTCCAGTTCTATGAAGCTGCAAAAACATCGATAGCACTTCGAAGTAATGAGGAACGAAAAATATTCAAGAAAAAATTGTCCAAGCCAAAAGTATAGGCAATATTAGTTCGAATTTTTTCCGAAACTTTACAAAAATTTGCATTTAAAAAAAGGAGATTTAAAAACTCTAGATGGAAAACAAGTTTCTCCAAATATCTAGTTCTACGTAGCTCCACCAACATTTGTTAACAGAGTAATGAAGAACGAAAAGTGTTAAAATAAAAAATCGCCGAAGCCAAAATTAATGGCAATCAAAGTACAAATTGTGCTAAGTTTTACAAAAAAATGGTGTAACAAAATATAAAGATCTTTAAGTAAACAAAAATTAAAAAACTCCACGAACTTGGTGATAATGCTAAGAATAATGTAATGTGTGAAAGTAGGTTTATAAAAAAAATAGAAGATTGGAAAATAATATAATCTGAAATGAGAAAATGCTTTAGCAACAGAACAAATAAAGAAAAAATTATAAACTTTGAACAAAAAACTCTTACCACGCAATGATAAACTAAAATAACTAGATGTCGAACAGATATAAGGAGAATGAAATTAAAATAATAAAAAATATATAATTATTTCGTAGACATAAATTAAATAAAACAGGATTTTTAAAATGGTATACACTTCGTTGCAAAAATGGCATAAACTTGCTTTAATTGAACATTAATCATACAATCTGCCATAATCAAAGAGACTAGGTATCTATTAATATCCAATCCATATTAAGGTTAAAATCAATATAGAAAAAATTTAAATAATGGATATAAAAATATAATAGTGTTGAGAGGCAGAGGAGATTTCTGTGTTAGGCAAATGTAAACGTAATTTATTTTGTCTTTTTTAATTTTTCTTAATCGATTAAATGTACCATAGTAAAAATAAAATATCCTGTATAGATAAACCTTAACAATATAGGGGACAATGGATTTTTTTTTTTTCGAACTTATAACACATATTTTAGATTAAATGTTATTTAAATAATTTACATTTAAAACAAATAATTTTATAACAAAAGTTTGTAACATGTAATTATTTATTTAATGTTCATGAATGAAAGATAGCCTTTGAGTAAAGAACATAAAAATTTCAGATGAGCTACTGTAGTGTCCTGAACAAATATTTGATCGAGGCAAGGCCCAAGAAGTCCAGGGGGATACGAGGGAAGTGAATCCGGTTAAGTTTAAATAAAGACCACTTGGCCGGGAGTGGCCCTTTTATTCAAATTGGGTTTTAGGGTTTTAGGGTTTAGGGTTTTGAAGGGATAGAGGGGAGGAGCACTCAGGGCTACCCGATTCCCAGGGTACATCGGCCGGCTGCGTTACACCCTGCCCATGCGGCTCTCAATTAAGAAATTAATTGAAGTGAAGATATTCCGAGTAGGAGCTCCTGAAGAAACTTATGATGAAGCCTGGGTATAAGAAAACTGTGTAATGCAGTAGTCCCAGCGCCGCGATATTGCTATTTTAATTACACGCTCATATATGTGTGTCCCTCTAGAACTAATTCCTCTGAGGAATTGCTGTAGTCTTGCAAAAAGAAGTCTGGACATTCCGGGTGGAGGAAGGTCTTTTTGGTATACCTAGGCAGCGCGGAGTGGTTTCAACGCGCAAGATGGCTCAAGTCGGACTAAAATATTGAATTCTAGCCTTTAGAGTTTATAAATTGATATAAATCGATATTCCAAACATAACGTTTTTAAATCCCATATCTCATTAACTATCTATTAATGAGTTTAAAACTATCTATAACTAGTTCAATGTCTATTACTGGCATAGGCGAAGACTATCCATTCTGGTTTGGAAGGGGGATGTACCCTCCTCCCCCCAAAAAAAATCTTGGGAGTTCATATATTGTATAAAAATTATGAGTAATGATTAAAATAATCAAAAATATAATATTATAGTCCCTTTTTATCAAATTATTAACATCCGCCTTAAACTTCGTAAATAGCTTCATCTCATCGTTTTCAATCTGAAGATCGGCAAACTTTGTCTATTGAATTATTTACTAAAAACTCGTACATACCCATTTGCTTTCCACTTGAATCGTAAGATAATTTGAGCACATAATCGAGAAAAAAGGTGGCCTTCAAAAAATATTAAGCCGTTCTGCGTGACCTACAGCCACAAATTGTCAAAATAACGAGATTATATTGGACAAACAGCCCAATTGTAGACAACATTTTTTCTCGATTTTGTGATCTTATGATCCAAGGGGAAAGAAAATGGGTATATACGAGTTTTTAATATCTAATTAAATAGGCAAAGTTTGTCCCCAACTCCAAGGGTTTTCTTAAATAAATAGTTGTATGTTACAACGCGATGAAGCTATTTACGAGGTTTCAGGCGGATGTTGATAATTTGATAAAAAGGGGTCTGTACCACGGACTACTATTTTTATATATATTAGTTTTTTAGTTTTCTTTTTGCGTATGGGTACATTTGAAAATATATTAACGAAGGTGTTGAATATATTACATATTTTTATATAAGGATTTTTAGGTACTTAGATTAGATGAACTTTCAATCCTCTGATCCTTCCAATTTTCACGAAAAAATGTGATAAAATCTTCAAGTAAAACTGGAATGGTGGATACCAATGAGCCATAAAATCCAGACATACGCTGATACATATAATTATATTTTAATATCAACTAAATGAATATTAACATAAGGTGTGGTAAAATAATTGCGGGCCTACTTCCAGGCCTTAGCTTAACCATCTAGTATCAATTAATTTTAGTACACATATTTTAATTATTCGTGTAGATTAATTGTTCTTCGAAAGATCGGGAGCTCTTGTCTATTTTTATTGGGGGAGAGAGGGGGGAAGAGACAATCGTCCCCCTCATCTCCCCAAAATCTGCGCCTATGATTAATCATACTTTACTTTAAAATGTTTATGAAAAAAATATTTAGCTAGATATCAATACATAAATTCTTTGCTAAGAAAAACGTCACTTCAAAATAAATTAAGAGGATTGAATGGAATAACATCCCTCTGCCGGAGAGGGGACGAATCAATTTCCTCAAAACACTTGCTATACTTAACGATCACTTTTATTACACATGGTCCGTATCATTTATAACTGCCTTGTTTTTTCTCCCAAGATACTCTCTGGTAATATAGTTGTGACCGGAGCTTGATATATGTCGTACAACTGGTGCGAGGGTGATAACCAGCAGCCGTCACTTAGGGGTGCCACGGGGAACAGGTGGGGCACGCGTACCTGCCGCACGTGGCGTCGCAACCCTACCGCGACAAAGCCACTGTCTCAAGTCGTCGTCAACTGAAGGGTTAGGGACCCTCCTTATTGTACTCCAAGCAGGTTATAAGGGGTTGGGATTAACCGCGTGCTGTAGTACAATGGGTACTTAGCAATGGTCTTTTAAATGTGTGAGTTTTGACAAGGAAGGGGATCTCTTATTAAAAACAAATGAAATAATAAAACACATCTCTAAAAGAGATTTTGTCGGTATAACCTTTAAAATCTGCAGAAAACTCAAATTAAGTAGATACAATGGAGTGATGAAGACAGTTCTGATTTAAGGCTGCGAGGTTTGAATACTAACCAGGAATTAGTGTTGGTCAAAATCGGTCTTGCACTTTGCAAGACCAAGACCAAGGCTGCCTAACTGTTGCAAGACCAAGATCAAGGACTGGTAAAAAAAATCGATTTTTTAAATAAAAAATAAGGCAAAATAGTTAATAGTATATATATAATAAATAAAAAGTTAAAAATTGTTTTAAATCGGTGCCATTATAACATTAAATATAAATTGTGGTGGTTATGGATAATTCACACCATTACTGATGTGAATTTTCAACTAACGTTAGCTCTAACCTCGGAGTCGAACGATGAAGTTGCAGAAAGTCGGAGAGTGTCGTAACAGCTAAGAACAAGTGAGTACGGTGGCAATTTTCACCTAAATGTCAGCAGAGGGTGGGAAAATATCTTCCACCAATCAGAGGCCATTTCACATATTATAATTATAATTTAGTTAAAATTTCTCTGAACTAATTTGGGTTCATTACGAATGAGAACTCAAAGATAGTCCTTGTGTCGGAAAAAGAAGTTCGATTTATATCAGCCCAAGACTTTCTTCAAAACTCAACAAGAATCGAACATATAAAGTATATGTGCCACATTATTTAGGAATAATAATAATATAAAAAATAAAAATATATGTTCTTGTTTGCAATATACTCTTCGTCAGAAAATTCAACAACAAACATTATTAAAATAATCGTTAATTATATATACTTCATATACTTTATATATATATATATATATATATATATATATATATATATATATATTATTGCAAACAGTCCTAACCTTAAGTATGTCTCTAAGAAATTTGATGAATTTTAAGAAAATTTAGCGCTATGGTGTTATACTTATACTTGACAGTTCAGTGTATTTAGTGTGTTTTGTTGTTGATAAATTAGGTCTAAATTTACAAAAATGTTCATAAAATTTCAGCTTCATGAAATTGTATATCGGTGACTTTTTACATCGACGATATAAATAATTTAAATACATATAAATAATTAACCATCAAAACTTTTAACTCACTAAAATCTATGCTTCCTAACAGTAATTTATCAGAGCAATCGAATTTATTTCGTTTAATTATTCTACAATATCACATTTAAACTACTATTCGCAAACCAACTTATTTCGTAGCAATATTACACTGTATTAGTTTCATGTATGGATGAAAAAATATGAAAAAAAAAAAAAATAAGGTGTGTGCTTCAGATCACAAGATAGAAGTGAAAACATCAACAGGGAGAGATTATTAATATGAAATATAAATTATTAATAGCTCATTATAAAGAGGATGAAATTCTGAATATTTTCCTCGCTTACTGTATGCAGCTTCGATTTTTAGTTCCTTAGATATTTTAATACATATGTTAACTGAACTCGTTATCATTTGGTTTATTCTCTAACACGGTGTTGGGTTAAGATACAATTTGGAATTATAACCTATCACAGAGAGGATGAAATGCTGAATAATTTCCTCCCTTACAGTATGCAGGCTCGATTTTAAGTTTCTGAAATATTTTAATCCATATGTAAAAAACATTCCAATAAGTCGACATTATCCGAGCGTTAACGCTTTGGAAATCTGACGGATCAATCTAATTCATAAAAGTGCAAAACGCGCCTAACGAAGTTTCAATGCTGCAAAAAATAAATTCAACTGTTACAGAGATATTATTATCTTATTCTCAAATTAAATATTTGTATATAAATATAGTAAACGCGTACCCTTTTCAATTATTTTGAGTTTAAAATATAATTAAAAATCAATAAAATTTTAGGTATCAATTAATTTTTCCTGCATTATTTTATTTACTATTTGTTTTAATTAAAAGCCGCTTTAATTGGTTAACAAATTCAATTAAATAAAGACTGATTAATAGATAATAATACCGGGCTGACAGGGGAAATATTTTGACAGCGGCGAAACATCGCGTGACGACATGAAAATATCTACAAAAGGTGGACAAATTGCACCGCTAATAATAAATCAGCGTTCTCCTTAAGAGCTATAGTGTATAAGTGATCCATGATATTGTATTATATAATAATTTAATAATAATAAATTGAAAAAATAATAATATAACACTATACAGTAAAAATTTTACATTTTTTTTTATATATATTAATTACACGAGTTCACAAAATCGAATTAGTATTCAACGGCCAATATCTAAGTTTTTTAAATGTAACTAAAGTATTTTTAAATATATTATAACTAGTATTTTATGGAAGAATAATCGTATTTTCATTTGTTGATGAAAAACATTTTTCTTTTGATAATTTTCAGATATTTTTATCACATATACATATTTCGGGGTTACCTCTATGTTCAGAATATTTTGATAGAATATTCAATTATTAAAGCTGTATTAAGTATAATCCTTTTATTTATACATATATATTATTTAAGACAGTCACATATATTATTCTATCCTCCTCATTCGTTATGTCCCGAATCCATACAATTACAAACATACAAACATTACAGTAGATTTTTTGAGATTATATTTTAAAATTATTTATTTATTCTATAACAATCAAACACTATTGGTCATTTTTGCTCTTACACAATTTAGCTGTTACGGTTACAATATTCGAAGTTCCAAAACAATAAAATAAAAAGAAATCTATAAAAAAAATAAATAAAAAAAATTAAATATTAGAATATGGTTTTCAAGAAATGATTTTTTTTTTTTTGCATCTACATGTTATTTTTCAAGATTATAATAATATAATTTCGCAATTAAACTTTATGCCGATAAGCTTCGTATGCACTGTTGAGATTTAAAAGA